GCGCGTGCATGTGTCTGCACAGAGAGAGTTAAGGTATGCAATTTTAGAGCCTGGGTGTTTGTCTGACAATCCCCGTCACGCTTTCTGTTTTGTTTTTTTTGTTTTTTCTGATCACTGATGTGTGAGTGCATGTGTGCGCTTGCTTGCGTTCCCCTTTATTGGTGTGTGTTTGAAGCTTTATCTTTATTTATGCGTTTTTGTGGGAAGAGGCTTGTGTTGGCCGCAGCTTTATCAGCAATGGCCCCAGCTGCGTGGAGTGGTCCTGCTGCTGATGCTGCACAGGCACCAGCCACTTGGACTAGTGGCTTAAACGCGCATGAACACGTGCATGTAAAACACACACGCACACACACACACACACTGTATGGTAGGGTCACTGGCCAAGAATCAGGACTCGACTGTGTGCTCTGCATTGATGCCAAAGGGTGTTTATGGAAGGCATAGAACTCACAGATGCAGTGACCTTCAGTTAGACAAAAAACAAACTTTTACCAGCTTGTTGCCATGTGATGCCCAAATTACAACTGTGTTCTCTTTAATCGTCTTTGTAATAACGTGTAAATTGACAAGCCATCAGCTCCAAAAACAAAAGCTGGGTCAGTCCTTTGTCCAAATATGAGTCAGCCTGTGTTATTAAATGAGATTGGGGTAGTGTAAAAATCCAGATGGAAGGTCTGGATGAATGAGAAAAAATAGGTTGTTAGAGAGTCATTATCTGTTAATGGAGGGATCTGACTTGGTGATGGTCCAATATAAAGTTGCCTTACAAAATTCAGTTTATTGTACAAGAATAAAGCATAATTTGAACTAGATCTATATGTTTTATGTTATAAATCTGTATCAGAAAAAAGTGTGTAAGTTACACTTTAAAATTAATACATTAAAGTTAGCAGGCTAACCCCTGCATGCTGCAGGTATCACTGTTAGAAAGAGACAGGGTGGCTGCTGTCAGCCTTCAGCAAATTACAAGATATCTGCCAAATTTTAGTCTGTTTTTAATTTAGTTGAGCTGTTGCTTTGTAAAACAACTGGGAGCTAGACGGGAGCACATGAACAGATACATTTTCTTTAGTTTTAAGTCAAGTCAAGTGGCTTTATTGTCGTTTCAACCATGTGTAGTGGTAGAGTACACAGTGAAATGACACAGTGTTCCTACAAGACCATAGTGCTACATATGACATATAACAGACAATCAGCACAGGACTACATAAATTGCTATTTGCAAAATTTGCAAAAAAAGAAAAACCAAAGCAAAGACAGTGCAGACACAACAGTGCAACAGAAATGTGCAAACGACTGAGCATTGTGCAAAAGGTTACTGGGTGTATGA